GAACGAGGCTGAGGGGCGAGAGGCTCGGCACCGGTGCGTTGTCTACGGGAAATACGGTACCTCGCCGGGCAGCTGCGCAGCTGGGGGCGTGGCCCGAGCGGGGGCAGGGTCCGGGGGGCGCACGCCCCTCCTGCGTCACCGCCGGGGCGCTGCGGGCTCTGCAGCGTTGCGTGTGTTGGTGGGGTTGGCCCCTTGGTCTCTGTCCGTTCTGTCTTTTTTATTTGATAAAATGATGAGATTATACAAATCATTTTATTTTTACTTGTATCACTTCATTGCTTTCTCACTTTTTTACCATTGTTATCATTTTATTATTTTTATTTTGTTATTTCTGTCATTTCAATATTTTGATCTTATCTTTATTATTTTATAATATTTAATTCTTGTGCTGTTACTTTTTATTATCTTTATTGTTTTATTACTTTTATCATTTTATTTCAGTTTCATTATTTTTATCATTTCAATAGTTTTATCTTTTATCATTTTATAATCTTTTATTCTTATATTGTTACTTTTATTATTTTTACTTTATTTCAATCCTTTCATTATTTTTTGCTCATTATTTTTATCTGATTTTGAGTTTATTTTGATCTCATTTTAGCTCATTTTTATAATTTCATTATCTTAATTTTATTGTTTTTATAATTTCATTATTAGTTTCATTATTTCTATTATTTCATATTTTCTTATTTTATTACATTTATTACCTTGTTTTATTTTTATCATTTTATTATTTTGTCAATATAGTCTTATTATTTTATAATTTTATAACTTTTGCTGTTTTATTACTTTTGTCATGCTACCTTTTTATTTTATTATTATTTATTTTTTTTATGCTTTTAATGATCCGAAGCAAAGTTTTTGGATAAAGTACCATAGAAGCACAGAGAAGCAGGACTGGAAGGGACCTTTAGAGCTCATCCAGTCCAACCCCCGGTCTGAGGCAGGATCAGCCCTGTCCAAACTGTCATATACAAACCGTCATCTAAACTCTACATAAGACGGCTGTCAACCCTGACACAACACAGACCGAACACGCTCACCTGCCACAGGCAAAGCAAGGGAACCATGGCAGTTAATGTCCTGCCTCTATGAGGCTGCTTGCAGACATTAAAAACCCCCAAACAAGTGGCACGTCAGTTTAAACTTGGCGCATTTCCATGCTGAGCTCCACATGTGCCCAGAAGTGGCAGCACCTTAGTTGGATCCCACTCACCTGATAAATGTAAAGATCAGGTACTTTAGTGGGGCTTTTTTGGTGCTTTCATCTAATAGGTGACAGAATCAGCTTTAGGTAAAAGTGCCTAAAAGCCCAGCTGAAGTGCCAAATCTATATAAATGCTGCAGAGCTGGGTCGAAGTAACGTACTGCTGCTTCCACTCAAGTGCCTTTTTTTGGTTGGTTTGTTTTTTTTAAACATCTGCAAGCAGCCTGAAATGTTGTCAATATATGCTCAAGAGATCCCAGGTAGAAAGTCATGCCCCCCACTGCAGAAGAAGACAAAACTCCCACAGTCCATACCCATCTGACCATGGGGTAAAATTTCCTTCTTGTCCTCAGATAAAGCAGTAGAGCTGACTGAGTGGAGGGACACAACCCTCTAGCCAGGAACCTCTGGCTTTGGGCCCAGGAGGTGCATTGGCACACAGTCATAGTCCCCAGCCTTGGCTGTAGCCAGCACCCAATGCCTCTGAGGGAGGCTTAAAAATACCCTGATACACATAGCAGAAAGGGAGTGGGGCAACCAGCAAAGCCCAGAAGTATGGGAAATACCTATAGCAGAACATATGCATAGCTATGCCTAAATCATCTCCAACCAGTGGCTGTCCAACCTCTTCTTGAACACCTTCAGTGATGGGGAGTCCACAGCTTCCCTAGTCAGTCTGTTCCACTGCTTCACTAGTCTAACAGTGAAGAAGTTTTTTTCCGGATATCTGAGTATGTTGCCTCTTACCTACCTTAGGATGCATGAAGACCATGCCCTTTTTTGCAGGGGAATACACCTGCTAGAAGGGAATGCCCCAGCATTTAGTCTTGTAAAATGACTATTGCTTTCTTCATAAAAAAAAAATAGGGGTATAGGTTGTAGCTGTGTTGGTCTAAGGACATAAGCAAACACGGTTCTTTTGGTAAATCTGATATCTTTTAGTTGGTCTAATAAAAGATATCAGATTTACCAAAAGAGCCTTGTCTCATAAAAATTAGTGCCTTTACTATCTGTTTATTTCATTTGGGTTTCCAGGCACGTTGAAGTTTCAGCCTCCAGCACAAGGTCCCTGATGCTAGTCTGTACGGGATAATCTGGAAACAGATCAAATGGAAAACAAGAAAATGAATTTTGTGAGGACTTTGTGATAACATTCTCATGCGTTGTGTCCCTGACCAGTGGCTGAAATACTTGTGATTTTTAGTTTATTCATCTTCATTTTTCTTCTTTTATTTCATTTTTCGTCTTTTACTTATATTTATTATTTTAAAGTATTTTAATATTTAATATTTATTTCAGCTCTGTTATGGAAAGCCCTATGGACCGGTGTTTTGCCGAAGAAGGACATAGCCAGGACATAGTTCTTGAAAAGCAAGTGTTTAGATCCAAAGTGCTGGAGTCTCATGTTCAGCTTGCATGCAGCTCACAGTACTCTGCTTTTCCTTTGAATGGGAATGAGCTGTGCATCTGGAATATTGGTATTAACCCTGTTCATCAGGTAAAAACAAAATGCTTGTAAATTTTAGCTGCAATATTAAAACAAAATAAATCCACAGACAACTGAAATGGATGAAATAACGGAAGAGTACTGGGTTTGGGTATATCAGCTTTGCAAGTAGAATACTGTTAACAATTTATGGCTTTGTTATTGTGCCAAACAAGGTAGTAAACTATAATGTATTTCAGTGGATGTATTTTAAGCACTAATGAAATCATATGAATAATTAGATAAGCTCAATTATTCATTTAAGTATTGGCTGTATGTTTTCTCTCATTTTGCCATAATATTTTCACTCTCTTTTGAAATAACATGTTTAACATTTTCTATATATATTTGCCAGCCATTACACTTGATAGGACATCATCATTCAATTACTGCAGTATCATTTGGAAGTAAAATGGATCCACTTCTTGTCTGCTCAGCTTCCCGTGACTATGTAATAGTGTGGAACTTGGATGAATGCACAAAGAAAGCACTGCAAGGTAGGTTTTTATAAGAAAGGGGATCATAGTGCCATGCTTTTAATATGACTACTTAGAGATGGACTCGACTGTCTTCATGATGTCTTATTTCTTTATCAGTCCCATAGGAATTCCTATGGTATATAGGACCAGTGGTCCCTTTAGTCCAGTAGCCTGTCTCCAGTAGTTCCTGGTAGGCCCAGGTCCACTGTTACTGCACAGCAAATAGGTCTGTCTCCCATAGTGGCTAGAACCAGTAGCTTCTGAGGAAGTTGCAAGAAACATTGTAGTAAGCTTCTTCTTGGTTCCCTGAAGTTAGATGTTTTCTTTTACTCTGTGGTGTAAGAGTCATCTTTTACCCTTTGTGTCTCTTGAATTTGTAAACATTGTGAAGATTTGTCAATGAACATTAACATTTAAATTATTTTCACATTATATACCATGCATATAGATTAGGATCAAATGTAATAGAGAGGAGAGAGTGGGGAGACCAGAATCTTACTATATTGACTCAGTTGTCAGAGAAGACTTGAAGGGGCATTGAGGGCTCTGACAGAAGTGACATTTGTCATGTAATCAGCACCTTGAAAGCACTATACAGCCATGCCCTGACAGAAGTGCATGGCTGCAGAGTGCTTTAAAAGTGCCAGATTGTGTGACAAATTAACCCTCATATAATAAGGCTTCAAATGAAGGCTGCTCCAAAGTGGAGCACCTTCATTAACTTCTGTCTGCCCCTGCATGCGATTGGGGCTGGGCTGATGCAGCCCAATCCTGCCCTCAGTGCTGTCTGCAGGAAGGGAGCTCTGGGTTGGGGTTTGCCCAGCCTAAGCTGAGGCGGGGGGCACAGGTGCATGGATTGGAGCCCTCTGCCTTGTGGGGCAGGGGTGGGGGACTCCAATCCATGTGCTCCCTCCCCCCCTGCTCCAGTTCAGGCTGGGCAAGCTCCAGCCCAGAGCTCCCTTCCTTTCCCTTCTTCCCCTCCCTTCCTGTAGACAGCACTGGAGCTGGGAGTTGAAGGGGTGGGGCTAGAGGAGAGAGGCTGCAGACAGGCAGCTCCTCCTGGATTGGCTCCAAAGTGGAGCTTGATTTCCAACCTCCCTCCCCCCTCCAACAGTGAAGTCTTTTGGGTTGGGGGGCTTGCTCGAACTCATGGCGCTTTCTGTGAAGTGCCATGAGTTAGTGGGGAGCTGCACGTCTGTTAGCGCCCTAAGTTGTGGGTAGTATGAAAGAAGGTGAGATTTATAATAGTAGGTGAATTAGCAGTGTGTGGAGCTGGGGAGCCTGGATGCATAAGTACATAAGGAGCAAGATTATCTGTAGCCAGTTTTCCTTCTCTCTCACTCTTCCTGCTTGTATAACATGCAGGCCTCTCAGTGAACCCCCTATGTTATTTCACAGATTACCCTCAACACAGTCCTTGCTTATTTCTTCTTAGCTGTTCAATTACAATATTTGTAGATAATGCTTTACTTTTTAATGCCATTAATGTGTCTGAAGCTTTTTTTTTATAAAACAGTATTAATAATAATAATTTAAAATTTTTTAGGGATAACACCTTGTGGAATTGTTATAGGAACTCTTTTGGGAATAGTGCTTTATGTAAGATTTAGTCCAGATGATCAGACGGTAGCAGCATGTGCTGGAAATCGGATCTATATACTAAATGCAAAGGTGAGATGTCTTTCTTCGAAGATACAATGTTAAAGATGCTATATACATATTCACTTTCAAATAATATTAACTAAAATCAACACATTTATCTGAAAACTTAATAATTGTTGAGCAGGAATAGTTATTTGGTTATTGAGAGTATGTATAGTAGTAAATCTTACAGGCATGTTGTAATTATCTTCAGTTTGAGTATTGTGGAAATTTAGATATGTCTAAGCAAGAAATGTTGCTTAAGGGACTCAAGTAAACATAACTGTCATCTAGTGAAGTGTGGGCCAGCCTTTTCGGCCAGCATGTCACAAATCAGCCTTACACCCTCCCAGAGTGACACTTCTGTCCTCTGTTGCTCTGCTTTCTGCCCATACTACTGATTTGGATGCTCAACTTAAAATATTTAGTTTTAAAATAATTTTACCTCTAGCTAGTGGATTTACTTGTAAATGATCAGCACAAATATTTTGTTCTGTGCTTTGTAAATGCTCTGTATTTGGTGGTGATAGGCTGAATTTTCCATACAAAACAAGGAGGCTGAAATATTTCTGTAAGTACAACATAGAACTCAACATTATAGACTTAAAGAGCACTTCTCTTGTGACACAATAACACAGGTAATATGTTGTAAATAGTTATTACATTTGAAAAAGTCTCAGTGGACACTGTGGCAATGTTCGGGTTCCAGGGACAACCATGATGCCTCCTGGTGACCATGCAACCCTTGCCCTGCCCTAACTCTAGAGTATCCTCCCCTTCTCACATGCCATGCCTTGTAACTATTGAATGTTGGAAAGGAAGGCTGCCTAAGGGTCTTAGAGCAAGCCCTAAGTTCTTCTGACAACCAGCAGGTCTTAGTCCTACTTTGTGCCTGGTGGGTCCTCTCAGCCTGCTTCTGCCCCTCAGGGTACTTGCAGCCTTAAGGGCTATTCACAGCCTTCTAACCTCGCCTGCAGCTACACCCTTGCCTCACAGGTGTTACGGTACAGTCGCTCCCTTGTTAGGACCTCGGCCTTCTTGGCCTCTGCCCCTTTTCTCTAGTTGGGCCTTTTAGCCCAGGTCCACTGTACTGGACCTAGCTTCTGGGCACCAGCTCTTACCCCCTGCCCTGTTTCCACCCTGTTTTGGGCCCTGTGCTTCTGTCTGGGCCCCTGACCCTGTCTCTGCCTTGTTGGGGGCACTGAGCCTGCTTCAACTGTCTGGGCCTCTGGCCCTATCTGACTTGAGTGGTGCTCGGTTGCAGTTCTCCCCCAGGCTGCCACCCTATAAGGCTCAAGTCCGGTCTGTCTTGAGCCCCTAGTTGCTCAGGCATGGCTGGAACCTCCATACCACCCCTAGTCCCAGTCCAAAACCACTGGTAAACTATAACCAAGGAATAAGCCCTCTGGCTATAACGCCAACTAACCCGCTCTGAGTCTGAACGTAAACTGGCTAGTGACTGTACAACAGGGCTTCCCCTTATCCTGAGTCACATTCCTCTGCAAGGCAACAGCATTCTGTTTGCCTCTCCCAAGTTAGCTTCGGTGCCAGCTAGGGGCTTTCCCGGCCCTTCCTGCTCTGGAACTCCTTCCTCTGCAGCCTTTAGGGCTAGACCGCCTGTGTAGGTTCATGCCCTGAGTTTATATACACGTTAAGCTCTGCCCTCTTCTAGTCTGGTGACTGCAGCCATCACAGGTGTGTTCATTGTGACCCTAAGGACCTGCCACTTGCCCTTGCAGCTGCTTAGCTACTGTTTGCAACTCTTAGCCTCTGGGTAGCTTTGCTGTCTGTCCTTTGTGCCTGCTACTGCTGGCTTTTGACTACAGTTTGGCTGGTAAGTAATTAGTTCCCTAGCTGCTAGCTTTCCCTGAGCCAGCTCCCTCTGCTGCAATTTCCTCCAAGTAACAGGAGCCTTCTGGCTCCCTGTTACAGAGGCACAATATTGAGAGGAGGATTAGTACCAAAAATTAAAAAAGGAAAACAAAATATAGTACAGTTACAGTCTTCAAGAAGTGGAAGTAAGAGGAAGAGTGAGATAAGAAAGTTTGATTCAGCAGAGATTTATAAGTGCATCTGAAACATTTTTGATGGTATCGCTCTTAAAGGATACTGATGCAAGCTGTTACCACATCTGCATGATACAGTAGTGACACAAGGTTAGTAAAACCCTTCTGACCGTAACACTGCTTTATCCAGTGGTCAAACTGGTTGATTTAGGCAACTTGTGTCACTACAAGCTCATACAGGTGTAACATTTAGATTGTAACAGTTGCTTTGCATGCCTGGATAGAGCTCTCCCTCCCCTTTTTAAGTGGCTAAAATGTATGTTTGTCTACCTAGGGTGACCATATGTTCTGGATTGTCTGGGACAAGCCTGGATTTTGTAGGCCATCCAGGTGTCTTGGCCATTGATGTAAATTGAAGCAAAAGTCCCAGATTTGGCTGCTGCAGGCAAATGCAGAAGCTCCTGCTTCTTGCAGTGCCTAGCCAGGGCCCTGCTGAGCAGAGGCTGGAGGTAGAGTGGCAGAGTGGGGTTGAACACTTCTTGTCCTGCCTAGGGCGGGCCAGAGGAGGGAGCTGGGGCCATGGCTCTAACACCTGTGTGGGTGAGCCGGGATGGCTGCCCACCACTGGCAGCCTTGTACCCTGGGAGGGGAGGGGCTGTGTGTGTGTGTGTGTGTGTGTGTGTGTGTGTGTGTGTGTGTGTGTGTAAGCATGTGCTGTCCCACCCTGTCCTGCTTCTGTGAGTGGTGGGTTCAGAGGTGTTTGTGTACATGTATGTGTCCGTGTGTGTGTGCATGTTGTGCTTTCCCACTTGGGAGCCATGGTGGATGTGCATACGTGCAGCACCCCCCTGTCCCAGCTTTCTCTAAAATTATTATGGTCACCCTATCTATACCCCTATCAGGAATCAGAAACTTTTATGAACAACAGGCTGCAGCTTGTGACCTGGCTGCCCCCATGGGCTGCTAGTGTTTCACTGCTGCCTCTGTGCTCCCTGATCTTTTGCCTTCTTGAGTCTTCCTGGAGTCTCTGCTTACCATTGCCACCAAGTTCCACAGATGCTTCTGGCCAGTGGTTATGCTGAGGGGCAAATTCAGCGGTGAGAGGTGAGAGCAGGTAGGGTTTGGGTATCAACAGGGACTATGCAGGTGAGCAGCAGAAGAATACACTGGGAAAAATGATGCTCATCACTCAGGCAGAAGGACCCTGAGGTGCTCCCAGTGTGGCATCTCCTGCTGTGGATGGGGTACAAATGCTTGCAGGCTATAGGTTGCTAACCTCTGCCCCATGTTTTTAAATTTAGAGAAGATAAACCCAATAAGCATAGTGATTTAGTCATTGATATGATAAATATGGATGGACAAGGGTTTGAAGCAAGTGTGTTTTTAAGATCGTGAAGTCCAATTTAACATTATTTTAAAGACTTTAGGATTTTTATGATCTGTTTTAGTGGAACAGCTGTATATGGTGGGTTGGGCCAGGTTTGGGAGATGCAGTGTTACCAAAGAGCCTGATTGTAGATTATACCTTGCTTTCCACTCTGGCTTCAAGCCACCCCCAAACCTGTCCCAATTAATCATATACTGTTGGTTCAATAAAAGACATCACAAAATGTTTTAATGTCTCAGATGTTTCCTGGACTGCCACTACAAAACACTCCAACCCTACTACATTATTTTTAGTATTGCTTATTAATTACTAGAAAGGTTAACTAATTACTTTTCTTTATAATTTTGATCTATTTTCTTCCTCCACTCAACAATTCTTAGAATGAGGCTGTATTAGCTGAGTTGGAAGGCCACTTGGCTCTAGTGACTGCAGCTGAATTTTGCACTTGGGAGAAAAACATGCTTATATCTGTCTCTGAAGACAGGAGCTTTAAGGTAAGGAAATTACAGGACTTGACATTTAACAAATGTAATTTGACAATATAGACTTTTTTTCCTTTAGAACATTTAAGCAACCTGACCTAGAAATCTTCTTTGAGACCAGGTGCTGGGTTGAAGCAGAGTTGGTTGGGAATTGTCTTTCATAATGATTTTTTGAGGTAAAAATGCAGTTTTCACAAAATCAGAATTTTTCTTCAAGAACATTTCAATTTTGATTTGTTTTGATTTTTAACAAGGAAATCAAAGAGAAACATTTTCATTTTGATACAGGTTATCTTAAGTGAAAGAAACATTTTACCTCACTGAACTGAACAAGAATGTTTTATTTTGAGTCAGTTGAAATTAAATGGCATCTTCCTGAGTTGTTTCAGTGTCTCTTGAGAATTTTAATTTGGATGCTTCATCCTCCCATTTCTCCTGTGGGGCAAAGCTCCTTGGCCAGACTACATCTTCTGTGATATCTCTGTTCTGCTTTCTGATTTGAGCCATGCAGTATATCATGAAAGGTGAAAAATCATGCTTTAGTTTTATTTTTAGTCCTGAAAAGAGAAATTTAGAAGCACTGGTAATTCTTGATGGTGATTCTGATATTTTGCTCAGTTCTAAGTGCTTAGGGTTGGGAGGTGGGGGTGGGGAATAAAACAGGAGAAATCCAAGTCTTGCGGAGCAAATTGTCAAAAAAAAACAACCTGCAGTAAAAAAACCAAAATGACAAACACAGGGTTTTCTAGGTTTTTTAAAATACCGAACAACTTAGTAAATTAAATGAAATGCTTGTGAAGCTATTGCTTGATCTAGATAAAAGGTTAGAAATAAAAATGACACTGAAGGAAAATTAAAATGGTGGTTTAATTAGAAAAGCAATTCGGTTGGCAATGGTTACCTGTTCTATGTGCATAGAAAAACCACTCTGCTAAGAGTTCTGAATAGCAAAAACCACAGTATTTAGTGTCTAGTTTCATTACTTTAACTGTGTTTTCCTCATTGTAGGTCAAGAAGGGGTGAGAGTATATGTTTTGTGGCTAGGAGGAGCAACAAAGAACATATATATAGCAAAAATATATATTCCTATGGTGAGTGGGTGCATGGTGTGGATATTGTGATAGCAAATGTGTACTGTGTAATTGCAATGATGTCTTTATATAGCAGCCATGGGACAGGTTGGTAGAGGTATTGAGGGGTGTGTGTGTGTATATATATATATGTGTATATATACACATGGCATATATACACACACACACCCCTCAATACCTCTACCAACCTGCCCCATGGCTGCTGTGGCTTACTTTACAGTACAAAAGACATCATCAATTACACAGTACACATTGCTGTCACAATATCCACACCATGCACCCCTCACCCATGCTCCAGCATGTCCACACGCCTGTGTGTCCATCACCATGACATTTGCCTGTCACTGTGATGAAACGTCACAGTTGGGAATCTGGTTATAGGTTAAGGTAGTGGTTCTCAACCTTTTTAGATTTCAGGCACCTCTCATTAGACCCTTGAGAAATGCCAACTCTTAGCTTTCACTCATTTTTGACTGGAAAAATAAAAGAGCAATTTTTCTGTTGCAAGTAACTCAGAAAGACCACAGCTGGTCAGAATATTTTTGATACATTGGGTTTCTATTTGAAAAGTCTTGGTTTATGTTGTGAATTGTATGTAGGTGTTTGTACACCTAATGGTGCTAATATTGCATGGCATCCTGTGGCACCCTTAAAAAGACCTCATGGCAACCCAAGGTGCTGTGGTACCCTGATTTAAGAATCAGTGGTCTAAGATCATTTGAAGCCACATTTTTGCTTTTCCATTTCTTGGGAAATCTAAAAGGGCTAAATTATGGCAGTCTTCTTCAGCCTTATGAGCATCAGTGCTGCTGGAATTTTAGAGTATTTTGTATGCCAGCTCTGTCTCAACACACCCTTCCTACTCTGGTTGGTTTCTGGCACTCCTCTTATATCAGGCATTGTAAAATGGCCCTTTGAGGGTGTCCCTGCTGGGGTTTGCATGAGTAAGCCCCTTTACCAACCAGACATGGGGATTTTAAAACTCCTTTGTGCTGCTTTAGTCCTTCTGCTCAGCAGAAAAGGGGCTGGAATAGAGATGAAAAAACATTTGGAAACAGAACATTGTAAAATGCCCATTTAGAAAAAAGATATGTTCTGGCCAGGAGCACATAGAGTGTAACAAACAAGAGCAAACACCCAAAGACTAGCAACCATGTCTGGTTGTTATCTCCAGGGATCCGGGTCTTCTGTTTGCCTTGGAGAAACATGGAAGAACATGCATTTGCTCCTTTAAAGAGGGGGAAAAAAATCACAGATTTCTCCTTTAAAGGGAAAAAATATGGGTTTCCCCTTGCAGGCTGGCAGAGTTTCAGCCTGTAAGGGGCTGCTTGGGGCTGGGGGGAGCGGGATGCAGGGGACACTGCGTGTATGTGTGTGCGCATGTGCACATCTATGTGGCAGCCAGGCAGCAGTGGAAAGCAGCTCCTGCAGCTGTGTCCAGGTAAGCCTATGGGGGTGGGGCACAGGTGTGCGGAGTATGTGTCCCACAGTTTTCTGTACCCACAGTGGGGCATGCAGCTGCAGCTGGGCTGAACCAGGTCCAGGTAGGAGCTGTCTTCGCAGCCCAGTGGGCAGGACCTGACTTGGAAGGGAACACTGTGCTGTCATGGCCGCCAAGGTGAGGCTCCCCCTGCCCACCTGGCAGGAGCAAGGGGCACAACTCCGCGCTGCTGTTGCATCTCACCTTGGCAGCCATGGCGGTTCA